GCAAAGTGAACGGGAAGTGGGACTTCCTCCCTGGCCCAGTACGTAAACCCTTACAAAAGGAAGGTTAGTGATTTGTGTATGACTTTCGGGGTCATTTCAAGGACTCCAGGTATTTGTGCAGTGGACAGTGATTCGAGGTTTTTTAGAATACTGGCATAATTGAGCCAAATGTTTGTTTCAGAGAGAAAATTGTGTTGTTGACATTCATATGGGTAGAAAGAAACCAAAGATTGGAATCAGGAAAACTATCCATGGATTTACCTGCATAACCCTGATTGAAATCATCATCCCTTCCTTGGACTCTAAATGTAGCATGTAATTGAACTGCATAAATCCACCTTTACTCCATGCCTTCCTTCTTCAGCCAGAGATGTGAATTACATCCTTTGTTAATTGGTTCTTTTTAGTTATTACATGACAGTAGAATCCATTTGGATGTAATTATGGAAGCATGGAATATACCTTCTTCTAGTTAGAACCCCATGCCTATAGATGTATGTGATGGTGGGATTCACTGTGCTGTTTTCCTGTATGTACATACAGAAATTACATCAGGTTCATTGTGTGGCTTTTCCTTTCCTATCCCCCCCCCTCCATTCCCATTGTCTAATCTACTGAACTTCTATTCTTCCCCTCACTGACCCTAATTTGGGGTTAGCTTCCACATATCACAGGAAACATTCAACCTGTGGATTTTGGGGACTGACTCATTTTACTTAGCGTGATAGTCTGCAGATCCATCCATTTACTTGCTAATGTCATAAAGTCATTCTTCTTCATGGCTGAGTAATGCTCCCATTGTGTGTTATACTGCATTGTCTTTATCCGTTCGTCTGTTGGAGGGTATCTCGTTTGGTTTCATAGCTTCACTATTGTGAACTGAGCTGCTATAAACATTGATATGGTGGCATCACTGTAGTATGCTGGTTTTAAGTCCTTTGGGTACATATCAAGTAGTGGGATAACTGGGTCAAATGGTGGTTCCATTCCACGTTTTCTGAGGAATCTCCATACTGCTTTCCAGAGTGATTGCGCCCATTTGCAGTCCCACCAGCAATGGATGAGTCTACCTTTCCCCTCACATCCTCTCCAACATTTATTGTTGCTTATATTCTTGCTAATTGCCATTCTGACTGGGGTGAGATGGAATCTCCGTGTAGTTTTAATTTGTATTTCTCTAATTGCTAGAGAGGTTGAACATTTTTTTTTTCCATGCATTTGTTGAACATTCCTATTTCTTATTCTGGGAAGTGTCTGTTCAGGTCTTTAGCCCATTGACTGACTGGGTTTTTTTGTTTTGTTTTGTTTTGTTTTTTGTGTTAAGTTTTTTGAGTTCTTTGTGTATCTTGGAGATTATTGTTCTATCTGAGGTGTGGGTAGCGAAGATATTCTCCCATTCTGTAGCCTCTCTCTTCAGATTCTTTGTTTCTTTTACTGCAAAGAAGCTCTGTATTTGGATAACATCCCATTTACTGATTCTTGATTTTACTTCTTGAGCTTTAGGAGTCTTGTTAAGGATGTCAGTTCCTATGTGAACAGGATGAAGATTTGGGCCTACATTTTCTTCTATTAGGCTTTGGGTCTCTCTTCTAATGTCTAGGTCCTTGATCCATGTTGAGTTGTTTTGGCGCAAGGTGAAAGATATGGGTTCAATTTCTTCTACTACATAGAGTTTTCCAGGTTTCCCAGCACCATTTGTTGAAGAGGCTGTCTTCTCTCCAGTGTACATTTACGGCACCTTTGTCTAGTAGGTGATGGCTACATTTATGTAGGTTTGTCTCTGTGTCTTCCATTCTGTACCCTTGGTCTTCGTGTCTGTTTGGTGCCAATACCATGCTGTTTTTGTTACTATAGCTCTATAGTATAATTTAAGGTCTAGTATTGTGATGCCTCCTTCTTTGTTTTTCTCTCTGAGGGTTGTTTTGGCTCTTCTGGGTTTCTTCTTCTTCCAAATGAATTGTATGACTGCCTTTTCTATTTCCATGGAGTACATTGTTGGAATTAGTATGGGAATCGCATTGAATTTTGGTATGGCCATTATGACCGTATTAATTCTTCCTATCCAAGAACATCAGAGGTCTTTCCGTCTTCTAAAGACTTTCTCAATTTCTTTCTGTAGTATTCTGTAGTTTTCATTGTAGAGGTCCTTCTCCTCTTTTGCTAGATTGATTTCAAAGTACTATATTTTTCTGGAGGCTGGTAAATTCAGTCTTGATTCTACACTACAAAAACATCCTCATTATAATCTTAAAGTACAATACCTGTCCTTATGGCCCAAAGTTTCGACATAGTTGACACTCTGTTTTCTTTACCCTGATCCCATGGAATTGAATGTCAAACTGGACTCTTCTTAGGTCTTTGGAAATGCAAACTCAGCCCTGGCTTAGGTTTAAAGAATCCCTGTCTTTGGTTTAGACTGCTAGTCTCACCTGTCAATTATACTGTCTTAAGCGGGCAGCCATTTCCTTCACCCCTATCCACACACTCTGCCTGGTGAAGAGCTACCTGTGTTTCAAGCTTCGACTCCCAAATGTTGTCTGTATCACACGGTATAAATCTCATTGAGCTCTCGATTTTTCTCTTTAAGTACTGTGAGACTCTTGCTGAACCTAAACATATGCCTGTATGTGTACAAGGATATTTTTTAAATATTTTTTTCCCTTTGCTACTTTCTCAGATGCTCTCACGAGACAGCCAGACCTCAAGGGGAGAGATGAAGGATTTTAAGTTCACCGCTAATACCTAAGTACCAGTACCTGAGGTCTTGCAAAAAATATAAATAGATAGCTGCTAAAAATATTAAATGAACAAATGACTATAGTATATGATGTAATGTAGACACAGAGATTTAAAGGCTTAGAATCTGTGGTGTGAAAAGCAACGGAAGATAACTTACAATACAAGAGAATTTATGAAAGGAGCTTATTGACTCAATCCAGCATATTAAACTGAAGATATGTTTTTTTTTTCCCCTGCATGTTTTTCCCGGCTTAAATTTTGCAAGTATTTAACTTAAGTTCTCTGCAAAATGTGAATATGGTCAATGTTTTTTGTTTAAGCTGAGTTTAAGAGTGGCAGAAAAAAATGAAAGATTTTTTTTTAATTTAAAAATGTGGTATATATATTCAACAGAATGTCACTCAGCTTTAAATAAGAATGAACTTATGGTATTTGCCAGTAAATAGATGGAGTTGGAGCATATCATGCTAAGCATAACAAGCCAATCCCAAAAGACCAAAGGCCGAATATTTTCTCTGATATGTGGATACTAATTCACAATAAGGGAGGGGGGGCACTAGGGAAGAATAGAGTTACCTTAGATTAGATAGAGAGGAGTGAAGGGAGGGTAGGGGAGAGGATATGGGGTAGGAAATAGAATCACAGAATGAAACAGACATTATTACCTTATGTACATATATGACTGCATGACTGGTGTGATTCTACAACACGCACAATCGGAAAAATGAAAAATTATACCCCATTTATGTATGATATATCAGTGTGCACGAATGCATTCTACTGTCATGTATAATTAATTAAAACAAATAAAAAACTTAAAAATATATTTGGAAACTATCCAAAGTTTACTATTTATTACCTTTACACTTAAAAGCCTACATACTTTCAGAAGGTGCTTGGGGTGGTAAGAAAACATGATTTCGCTATGCTAAAAGTTTCTTTTTTTTTTAATTTTTTATTGTTGGCTGTTCAAAACATTACATAGTTCTTGATATATCATATTTCACACTTTGATTCAAGTGGGTTATGAGCTCCCATTTTTACCCCATATACCGATTGCAGAATTACATCAGTTACACATCCATTGATTTACATATTGCCATACTAGTGTCTGTTGTGTTCTACTGCCTTTCCTATCCTCTACTACCCCCCTCCCTTCCCCTCCCCTCCCCTCTTCTCTCTCTGCCCCCTCTACTGACATTCATTTGTCCCCCTTGTATTATTTTTCCCTTTCCCCTCACTTCCTCTTGTATGTACTTTTGTATAAGATTAATATTAAACAGGGATGAGAGGTGGGAGGGAAAGGGAGAGAGAAGGGAAATTGCATGGAAATGGAAGGAGACCCTCAGAGTTATGCTAAAAGTTTCTAAAAGGTCTTATCATAAATACAACCTGGATGAGTTTATTCTGAGATTATTCTGAATGTTTATGTGTTTATGAGTTTTTAACCAACCTCTTATTACATTTTCCTGTTGAAGTAAAGGCCAAAATAACACTTTATCTTGATTTCATTTATCATTGAATAGCTTGAATGTCAAAATAAATTAGGGAAAATTATGATGTAACCCATGAGGAAAATCAGGTCTCCTACCTGAAAAATAACACTGTCAGAAATTGATTTCCTGCAGAAATTTTGAAGCACAACAATAGTTTTAGTTCTAATAACAATTAAGAAGAAAGAAAATGTTTCCTAATGAGTATGTTTTCAATTATACTGATGAGCAATTTTTTTTAAAAATCTATAAAATTTCTAAAATCACTAATAGTATATGTAAGTTAATATGTAATAGAGGTAATATGACAGTATATAAAAGATCTTGTAAGATGGATGGCATCGTACTCCTAATAATTAATAATCAAGAATACAATCTAAGGAAAGATTTGAAGAAGTTGCTTTATTACTGTTAACATTTCAAAAACAACTGAACTAGAATTTAAATTAATGAATATTTCACCCACAGTGAATAGATTCAGATGAGTACCATTCTAACTCATTAGAAACTATAGCAAAAATCATAGCAGATGATGCACGTATTTGAGATGTGAACAAAAATTATGAAAATATGAATTGGTTACTGAAAGTTTGCAAAACATGTGTATGTGTGAAAAAGTAGGCATGTAGATTGCTTCACATTGGATAATCATATTTTAATACTAAATTAAATCAATTAAATTAAATCAAGACCTAACCATCAGTGTGCATATTGAAATACCCATGTTTGCATGTTTATAATTGCATGACATTTTCTTGTTTCTTTCAGACTCCTAAGAGATTGACTGGAAGATAGACTTTTTTTTTTTTCTGCTGATTGTATGGGAGAAAATTTTGACCTTACAAAGTGGAGATGAGGTTGCTATGGAAACTGGTAATTCTGCTGCCACTCATCAAATCTTGTGCAGGTAAAGTATTCTATTATTATGGGTTTAGATTGATAAATATATTGGCATTGTATTTCCGTCTAGAGGTGAAATAATGTTCCAAATTCTCAATGCATATTTTCTTTGAATGACTAAATGCTGAAGTTTTGAAGGTAACCTCTGTGGCTAATATAGTAAGATCTTCATCTTTAAAATATATGTCAAATACTATTTTTAAAATAACATTATATATGCATATATAAAACTTTATATATATATAATCTCAAAAACGAGCCTTAAGTTAGCATTATTACATTTATAAGTCATATAATATACTTTACAGTAAAAATGATTAAATGTTCTTACTATCAATCAATGATGAAAAATTATTTTTAAACTTATAGTGATGTCCTTAAAAAACTAAAATTGAAACACAGTTTGCCTCAAATTTAGAAGTTATTGTGGGAAAAAATGCATGTTGAGTTACGGGAAATGAAGATACAGAACATTATAACAAAAAAGCAAAACTTAGAAGTTTTCTTTTTCTTTCCTTTTTCATAACTAACAAAAGAAATCAGTGCTTGTTTTTCATCCATGCAAAATACAGTAGTGACCGTGTTCACTTTTTTTTTTTTTTTTTGTAACAAACCAGCCACAATCAGAGTAGGTTAGAGGACCAAGTAACCATGGTTTTAGGTGACAGTTCTGTGGGTTGGCAATATAGGATGGGCTCCCCTTGACTGTGTTTCCAGTTCTGCTTAGGTGCACTGCACTTGTGGTCACCTAGAGGGATCTGCGACCTGCCTGGTCTAGAACTTTCTCCACTGAGGCTACTGGGCTACCTTGACTTTGATCTACATTGTCTCTTATCCTGTGCATCTGAGCTGTTTCCCATGGTGGCTACTGAGGGTGCCAAGCAGACTCTGAAGGAATTGATGTCTTTTGAGGACCAGGCTCGAAGTCCTCATATTGTCATTCCTGTGACGTTCTGTTGGCCATTGCAAGTTATGCAAACAGCCCAGGTTTAAGGGTTTGGAAATAGGCTTCTTCTCCTGATAGAACAGTTGCAGTGTTACGTTGTCAAGCAGTCTGGGAATCGTCAAGATAAGAGTGGCTGTTCTGTAAATAATCCACCCCAGACATTTAGGATCCTGCAGGCTATGTTCTTAATTGCTAAGCCTACCTGCCTAAAGGTATGCAGAGTGTGGACACTGGTTAGGACATCTCTTTGTCTGAGAAGCCCTTCCGGTATCATTATCACTCTGTTTCCCCTGACCTGTGACAACAGATACTGTTGACATCTCATATATTCATAACAAAGCAGTAATATATCAGAAGGAACACAGGAACAAATATAATTTATAAACCAGAAACACAGTAATTGTATGGGACATATATTTAATAACAATCCCAAGAGACGGAAAGCTATAGGAATGCTAAAATTTGCAGAAATTAACCAGGCTGTAAAAGAGGTATTTTTTACTACTAGTGAATTCAACAGCTTGACATACTATTTGTTCAAAATGATCATATTATTTTGATTGATGTCACTCCTAACTCTGCAACAGAGATCCTGAGTTAAATAATAATGTCTTGTCTTTTGTAAAAATTAAGAAAAGAAGGCAGAGTCACCAAGGTGCCCCCAGATCATACATGTGTGAATAAGAATTCTGTCTACCCTTAACGTTCAACTTCCTGTCAAAATTCAACATTAACATTTTGCCCTTTCAATGCGTCTGCTGAATTAGCATAGGATCTCTAAAAGACCTTTTGTGTTAAATTAAAATAAATGATTATCCTCAGAACAGTTATCAAATCTGAGAAATAATTCTGTTCTTCTGTTAACTTTTATTGACCCAAATTGGATGTGATTCAACATGTCCTTTTGCTTTGGTTTTTTTGGATAAAATAACAGGAACAATCATATATCCTTGGTGCACAATTTCACTGTGAAAGAACAGATTGGATTCATTTTTTTATTTTTGAGTCATCGCTATTTAGATTAGAGAATCTAAGCTAAACATTTCCCCTAAGGTAAGCATGCCAATTATGTTTTACACAAGAGAGCTTTGCTTTAAATTTGTTCTGTTAGAGATCTCATGGTGTCTTCTCTTCTTGTAGATATTATGTTGGTTTAGAAAATGAGATTGTCTTATGATCCCCAAACTTGCTTTTTATTTCTTCTGAAAGGCCACCAAGTCCTTCCTAATTGCATGCTTTTTCTTTCTTACGTTTAATGTTGTAACCCTTGTAAAGCGTGGAGATATCTTCCGTCTTCCTAAACTCCAAATTTTACAACTTAAAAATTCCACCACAAAAATGTCTCTTCTTCTGTTACATTGCTTTAATTAACCTTACGGCTTCTTCTAGGGCCTTCAGAGCAGAAACTGGCTTCTTGAACCTTTATAATGAAACTGAACTCATCGGACCTTACCTCATTTCTTCTGAAATATTCTTGGAGTTTGGATGTTTTAACCATTCAATTCTTCTGTTTCCATATTCTGTAGATATCAGGAGAAACCCAAGGCCCATTTAATTAAGAAACAATCCTTAAGTATCCATCTTTAAATGATTGCATTCATAGATGTGGTGGGTTAGATAATGGCACCCCCAAAGATCTAGGTTCTCATGCCTAGCAACTGTGCATGTTATATAATAAGGCAAAATGGATTTTTTTTTTCAGGCATGAGGGTCTTGAGATGGGAGGATTACCCTGGACTTCTCAGATGGGCCGTCCCAAGTGTCTTCATAAGATGGAAGCAGAGCTAGATCTGACACAGGGAATGTAGCGAGAGATTGGAAGATGCTTTATTTCTAGACATAATGATGGAGCAAGGCATCATGAGCCAAGGAACTTTGGGAAGGAAATGGTAGAAACTGGAGAAAGCAAGGTACAGAGGAAGCATGACCCTGCCAATACCATATTTTGGTCCCTGGGAGACTCATATTGGATTTCCATCCCCCAGGACTGCAAGAGAGTAAACCGGAAATGCAGTAATTATATAGGACATATCACAGTTCCAAGAGATGGCACACTATGGGAATGCTAACATAGGCACAAATCAACCGGAAGAATCAGAACACAAAGTTTGCGGTAGTCTTTAGACAACTCATAGGAAACTAACGTTATATCCTCCTCTGTCGGTCTACTTTCAGTTTCAAGGTGGCAGGAGGTGTATCTTGCTGGCCCATGCTTCTAAAATGAGCTGATTAATTCCTCACTAAAATTACACATTTGGGGTCCTATTTATATTATCACAAAGCAGAGTGTGTATAGCATCCACCCGGGAACCGTTCGTCCCATCCAACTCTTCCCTCTTACCCTTGTGTGATGACATCTATATCCTAGGACTTTAGAGGTAGAGTTCTCAGAGCATTTAAAAAGTTTTAAACTGTGTCCCAATTGAGTATGGACTTCATAACACCTGGGATTTCATTGGCTTTATTCTGCATGTTTTTTTTTTTTTTTTTCTGTCATTTGGGAGATTAACTCTTAGTATTTCTAATGAAGAAAGCAGGGCGTTCAATTGAGCAGGCACAGGCATACACTAGTGTCTATGATGTGCCAAGCACCGAGGTACACGTTGACCTCCTGTTTCTGCCGTCCTCAGCCTAATAGTCTAAAAAGAAAGCAGCAGACCTGCAAGTAGGCTAATAATTGCAAGGGAGGAAGGACCGGTTGCTCTTTGGTGGCTGGATAGGGTTATGTAACATGAGATGGAGAGCACATCTTGTGTTTTTGTCCAGGATTCATCCGTTTTACTTCTTTGGTGAGACAAACTCAAGTATATGAAAGACCACTCTTACTGTCAGACTTTGAGTTTGAATAAGCGTGGCACGGTCTCCTGGATCAGGTAGCCAGCAGATACCATCCACCTTTGCCATATTGGTTCAGGATCTCTTTTATCTGGGCATATCCCTGGACTTTTGCTCAAACACAATGACAGAGATGTCTTCCCTTTGTGAAGTTCTAGTGTGAGGCAGCAGAGTGTAAGTTTCTAATACACAGCTTTGTGATAATGATGATGACAGTTACACTCCTAATTGACAATTTTTAAAAATGTACAAATAATATTGTTAATAGAGATGTATAAATAAAATTTTTAATAGAGTAAATTTTTCATAAAGATTAATAGGGTAAAAGTGATCGTCGGCTGAATCATGTGCTCTTCCTGCTTTAAGTTAGAAGATGACACAATTTTAAGCCCAGGGTCTGATAGAAGCTCTGCAGTCCTTAGGAATAGTGTGACTCGGGGGTCAATGGCTTGTATTATAGACCCAAATATAATAAGTAATAGCAAACATCACTGCTTCCAAGGAGTGTGATTTCACTGGCATTCAGAATTCCTGCTGCCTTTACAATTTCTGCTTAAACATATTTTAACATTGTTATTTTAACAAAATGAGATCACTTAAAAATGGTCTTTTTCTTTTTTTTTTTTTCCAATCCACTTGTCTCCCAAGCGTAAGTGGTACATCTGTGCGCCATGTGTACTTATTTATTTTGCTGTGGGAAGAGCACTTTTGTCTAGATCTTATAAAGTTATGGACTGAGCTCCTCTTTAGCAGTCCTGCAGAAAGTCCCCAGTGTTCAGTATGAGAGTTGGTTCTGCCCCACAGAGTGAATAATTCAAGGAATAAACATGGAGTTGCTCACAGTAATCGGCAGAATAGAACGAAAGGCCTGCTTGAGGCTTTCTAACTGTGGCATCACAACATCAGGACCTAATGAGCTGCTTTCTCCTGCTGTATTAATCCCGCTGCAGGAAGAGACAGAGGCTTGAAATGGTAAGAAGCCTTCCCTGCCCTGGTTTCTGTGTCATGTCTCCCAACAAATGTGTTTCTATTTCCTTCAAAACAGTTCTCATAGTAATTGATTCATAGAACTTGAATTAAGTTGCTTTTAGGGCAGATACCAAAAAAAAAAAAAAAATTCTGTTTGTCAATATCTTTACGTAGCTTACAGTTTCCGGACAGAGTAGGCTAGAAGAATCTGGGAGAAAACCTACTTGTTTCTAAATGCTCATGAACAGGAACCTGTG